CAAGCCAGGAAGAAGAATCAGTACGCACTTGATCTTGGACTTCCCGGCTTCTAAAACTGTGAGAAATAAACCTCTGTTATTTAAGCCACCCAGTCTGTGTATTTTGTTACAGCAGCCTGAGCTGACTAAGAAAGGCGGTAGTATCAGGGTCAGGACTGGAGGAAGCAAGAAGCTCCTAGAAGGGATGATCTAAGGAAGCATTCACCCTCAGGGTCTTGCAAATGGAGGCTCAGCACTCACGCAGCCTTGAGAGTGAGTGTCCCCTTAAATTTTGCACTGTAAGTGCCCCACTTGCCTCATCCTAGTCCCAGCCCTGGGGAGCATGCTCTTCATAACCCAACTCAAATGGGCTCAAATAAACAAGACAAAACAAAAAACGTAGATCGTGTCATTGAGAAGTGGAAGGGGTAGTTCTGGCCTCCGGAATGGTTGTATCTCTAGCTCTGTCTCTCATCCCACTTTCTCCTTTCTTGGCTTTATTCTCAACTAGGCTCACATTTTGGAAACAATATGGCCATGCAGATGTGTATCTCAGTGTGTTCATCTGTTCACCTCAGGGAAGATTTTGATTGGATCTTCTAGGTCACGTGCCCATTTCTGTGCCAATCTTCATGTCCAAGAATGGTGTGTGCTGACTGGCCAGACTTGATCAGGTGTCCAGCCCTGTGGTGAATGAGATAGTTGCTGTCTCAACCCACTACCCCAGAATCACTCATAGTTGAGAGAGTAGTGATTCCCAATGACAGAGATCAGACCAGTTTGGAGCTGAGGTCACTTTCACCTTTGTCTGTAGCTTTATGGGAAAGTGCCACAAAAAGTTTTGGAATTTTCTCAAGTAATCTGGGCCTTATAGGTGTGTCTATATACAATTTAGTCGAGATTCTTGTTCAAACTGTACCATGGTACCTTAAACAGGACTCCTTTGATTGCAAATGACAGAATACCTCAGTCTGAGCTGGTTTAAGAAAAAAGGGGAATTTTTTACCTTGTGCAGTTAAACAGTCCAAGAGTGGCTCCACTGAGGTAGAAAATGCCAACTGACCCATGCAATACCAATTCAATTTTGTTCTTCCAGAAATAGAGCCATGTTGGAATGGAGACTATATTCCCCATTCTCCCTTGGAGACAGCTGTGGCCATGTGACAATATATTGGTCAGTGGGATGCAAGAGAAAGAGAGCTTTGTAATATCTGGATGAATTTTTTTATTTGGAGGCTGTTTTCACTCCACGCTCTCGTCTCCCTTCCTGGGAAGTGGCAGTTAACTAGACCCAAGGGTGGACACCATGTCCACAGCTGACCCACCAGCTTGAGTCCCTGGATGACCTTTTGAGACTGAGCTTCCTATCTGCCCATCTGGATTGTTCCATGAGAGGTAAATAAACTTTTACCCAATCTAAGTCGTTGCATTTTGGGGTCTAATTGTTACACCAGCTTCTCGAGTATTTATAATGTAATAGGTTCCTGGGGTACTGGATAGGGGGGTCCAAACAGTACCATCGGGTTTGGGTTTGCTTCTCCTTATCTCTTGGCTTTGCTTCTTCTGTGTAGCCTCCACTCCTGAAGCTCCTGGGCTCCAAGCATCCAGACTCTATTTCAGCGAAACACAGTATGAACCTTTGGCCCAGTATTCAGCAAAAGTAATGTAATTAACTCTTAATGCGCCAGTTTAGGTCATGTGTCCATGTCTAAACCAATCAGTACCTTTGAAGGAAGGCATGTACAAGGCTGCACACCTGTACTGGGAGCAGGGGATAATTATACCCCAAATGACAATGGTGACCACTATTGGAAGAAAGGAATTGCATGCTAAGGAAGCAAACAAAAATGGATACTATAAATATGAAGTTCTAAGTGTTAAAAATTGAGTTAAAAACAGGGATTGAAATAATGATTTTTCTATGTCAGACTTACCTCTAGTGAAACCGAATTGTGTGTGGCTGTGTGTCTGTCTTACACGCATAGTTGTGGGAGTTGTACACTGCACAACTCTGTAAGCACTACTTACATTGTGTATCTCTGTGAATTACTCCTTTCCCCCTGCAACAGTTGTGTATGCATATTTTGGACAAGTGTAAAGCGGCTGTCTGTCCTCTGAATAGTAGAGCACAGTTTGTGTATTTTGAACGTATATCAGTTTGACTTCACCCAAAACAAACCAACAAGACCATACACTGGATTCAATCTTGCAATTAAAAAAGAAAAGCATTTGTTTCTTCACATCTAGTTTGATATTTTCTAGAGTGATTCTAGTTTACTCACTTCTACCTAAATTATTTATGGATATTGATTGAACTCAACATTAATTATCAAAGGATGGATTTCTCAGTCTCAGTATTTATGTATTTGTTTATTTATTTTTGGCCACGCCGCGTGGCATGTGGGATCTCAGTTCCCCGACCAGGGATCGAACCTGAGCCCCCTACATTGGAAGCACGGAGTCTTAACCACTGGACTGCCAGGGAAGTCCCTCAGTCTCAGTTTTTGTCAGTAATTATTTGTTACCTTGAGCCATTCACTCAAGCTCCTTATGCATAAATTCTTTAATTCTTGGTTTCTATGATTCTCTGGGTTTGGTCTACAAATGATGTGTTGGATAAATGCCTTCCGTGAACATGTCTATTTCATGGCGGCCATGGATGGTATTTTCTTTTTTAAGTTTTAAACCTTCAAAAAGAACTCTCCAAATGATATTTTTAATCATTTCATCTTCTTTTGGTGAGAGATTTAAACTTAAAACATCATTTTCATTGAATGACAACATGATGACAGAGCTAATGGTTTACTATGTTACAAAGAGTTCTCCCTGCCAGAAGATTTGCTTTTTGATTGTCCCAATTTAGTCTCAGTTCCCCTATGACACATTCTTGGGTGATTCTCTTCTTTAACTGACACCCATCAAACCAAGATGACTAAAAGCTAGTGTTGCCAGTGAGAAAGGAAAGATTCATATAATCTTAGAGTTGAAAAGCCTTTGAATGTCATCAGGCCAAAGAATCCACTAAATGAATGAATCCTCTCCTCAATAGCTCTGACCAGAGGTCACCCAGCCTTGGTTTGGTCACCTCCAGTGAACAAGAATTGTCAAATTTCTGATGCCATCTTTGCCTTTGTGGACAGTGCAAGTGATTAGACAGATCTTCCTTGGAAACCACCTAGTAACCTCCCTCCCCCATGACAACACTGTATAGGACAGTGTTTACCATCCACTGTTTACCAGAGCTGGTGTCACACACACCTGCTTTCCCGTGGGACCTGGGGCAAATCTCTTAATTCCTCTGAGCTTCAGTTTCTATAAAATGTGGATGATAGTACCTATCTCATTATTCCTTTAACAGGATTAGCACAATGCCTAATGCCTGGTGCCAATAAATGATAGCCGTTACCAACTCAGACATGTTTCAGGAAGGTAGTGCAGCCAGGGGCAGGTGAATGTGAAATCCGGTCTCCCTTTTATCGTATTCTATAGGCAGCATCCAGCAATGGCTATGAACATGGGCTCTATTGCCAGGCTAGGGAGGCATAAATATGGTCCTGGTATTCACATAAGGGGGGTGGGTAGCTCATAAAGTACAGGGGAGTTTAAATGAGCCCAAGCTAGGGGCTTAGAGGGTGCCTGACACTAAGGATTTATTCGGCACCTGCTCTGGGCCAGGCTTTGTTGGTACACGTACTAATGAGGCCAAGGGTCAGCCCCTGGGAAACTCACAATCCGGCGGGAAAGACAAGCTCAAACAAGGAAAATGATATCAACGCAAGGGCTGGGTCCAGGATGCCAAGGAGACCCGAGGAAGCATGCAGCTTAAGCCAGGGCACTTATCCCTCCCCTCATATGCCAAGGTCAAGGCAAACCATGGCAACACCGCTCCCCAGACACATGCACAACAGAGGCAAAAGCCAGCCCTTCTCAGGGCACAAAGATGGGGCTGAAGGGAGAGGCGGGGTCGGCGGCGTCTGGGAAAAAAGTGAAATTTCCTCTCCATCTAAAATAAGCCCAGAGCCGGAAGAGACCGAGCGTTACCTCGGCTGGTGTGGGCGAGGTGCGGGGCAGGCAGGGGCAAGCTCTGGGTCCCGGAGGAGGGTCGGGGTCGGAACGAGAATGGGGGCGGGCGAGGCGGGCGAGGCGGGCGGGAGAGGAGGGGAGGAGGAGAGAGAGCGCGTCCACGTGTGCCTGCCTGCGGGTGGCCACCGCCGGGCGCCGGCCCCGCGCGGCTCCTCCCCTCGCCCTCCCCTCCCCTCGCCCTCCC